GTTTGTGTTCCCGATTGGTAGAGAAGACGTCCAAACCATGGGCTCAAAACCCCTCAGCAGTAAACAACAAAAAGGAAGTGCCCGACAGGCGAACATGCATTCTTGACACCGTCCTCGACGCCATCGGCTCCACCCCCTGCATCCGACTCAATCACGTGCCGAAGAAACACGGCGTGTGCTGCGATGTGGTTGCAAAGTGTGAATTCCTCAACCCCGGTGGCAGCGTCAAGGACCGCATTGCTCGGCAAATGATTCTGGACGCAGAGGCGAGTGGCCGACTGCGCCCCAATCAAACAATTATTGAGGCGACAAGTGGGAACACGGGCATCGGGCTCAGTCTGGTGGCTGCGGTGAAGAAATACCCCATGATCATCACCATGCCCAAAAAGATGTCACATGAGAAGGAGGTGACCCTCCAGGCCCTGGGAGCAGAGGTGATTCGAACGGAGACCGCATTGCCATGGGACCACCCGGATAGTCTCATTGGCATGGCTCGGCGTCTGGAGAAGGAGAAGGGCTACGTGTTGCTGGACCAGTACCGGAACCCAAGCAATCCGAAGGCGCACTACGAAGGCACGGCTCAGGAGATTTACGATCAGTGCGGTGGAAAGGTTGACATGGCGGTGTTCACCACTGGGACGGGCGGCACAATGGCCGGAGTGGCAAAACGATTAAAGGAATTGCTGCCCAACATTGTCATTGTCGGCGTCGATCCGTACGGGAGCATTTTGGCCGATCCCTCGGTACCGCTGGATCCGAAGCCGTACCTCGTTGAGGGCATCGGGTACGATTTTGTGCCAGATGTCTGCGAACGGAAGTACGTTGATCGGTGGGTGAAGTCCGCTGACAAGGAAAGCTTTGCGCTGGCGTCGGAGGTTCACCGCGAAGAGGCGCTCCTCGTCGGAGGGAGCAGTGGTGCCGCCATGTGGGGTGTGCTGCAGGCAGCGAAAGATCTTCGTCCTGACCAGCGGTGCGTTGTGGTATTCCCGGATGGCATCCGCAACTACATGACAAAGTTCCCGGACAAGAATTGGCTGGTGGAGAACGGCCTGGAGGAGGGCGAAGTGACACGCCCAACCTACGGGTCGCTGGAGGCGCAGCTGGAAGAGGCAAAGAAAAAACTGTCGGAGTATGAGGCGAAATGCGGCGGCAGCGTGGAGGAGGGTAAACGTTGCTGTGAAAAAGCAAAGTAATATATGAATACATACATACATATATATAAATAAAACATAAACATACATAACGGGGCAAAACGAGGTAACTTTTGAATAAATTCTGGGATCAGGGCGAATGCAAGGCAACGATAATTGCATGGGTACGGCAGCATTGTTAGGGAGGGAAGTGGAGTGTTTGGGGGGCACTGCGGGCGAGCGAAGACAAGAGCAAAAAAAAAAAAAAGCGTCCGCCATGAGAAATACTGGGGAAATACGTGCAGGGAGATAGCTGGTGGGACGATGTGTGCGGAGGCGAAACGGAAAACCGGCAAAGCATAAGAGGAATTGCGGGATGGGTGCTGGGGATGATTGATTACCGAAATTAACCGAATACATTACTAACATAACGCCAGAAATGGAGGGGGACCTCGTGTCTTCTACGGGTCCATGCAATCCGGGTTCCCAGTGGTGAACCGATGATGAATGCCCTGCTTTGGCTCCGAGAAGAAGGGCAAAGCAAAGGGGAGGGCCGCGATGTTTTTTTATTTTTTATTTCTTATTTATCTTATTTTTTTTTTTTTTTTTTGAAAGTGTTCTTCTTGAATATGTTTGGTGTGTGTTTGTTTTTTTATTATTGGGGGCGTGCGAAAAGAATGTCCGCGAGAATGCGGGCGACCTAATTTAATATGTTCTGATAAGACGAATATGTTTCTGTGCGGTTCTTTCCCATCTTATGGTTCCTTGGAAGACCGCGATGGGAGGAGTCAAGGAACCGATGACGGCAGGATGAATTTCATTTCATTGTTTTTGCCGTCCAACCCCCTTTTGACTCCAACCCTGCGGCGGGGTCTTGTGGTTGGAGGATCTTGAACTCAGCCACCTCGTAACTAATAATATCTCCAGTCCGCAGAGGCTGCAGCACGTCACGGTGGCGGCCAGCCGAATACATATATAATTGGAGCGAACAACGAGGACGCGGCGAAGTCACTGTCTCTCCACCACCCCTTCCTTCCCGTCCCATTTTGTTTTTATGGAAAAGTCTGGTGTCTGGTCAGCAGCCCGGGCGAATACTCCACATTTTGGATGCATGAACGCCACGTCGAGGTTTGGGAGAGATGAGGCGGTGTGGGGAGTGGCAACCACCATCACCGCCACGAAATGGCTGCTTTCACCTCTTGCCTTTTCTCTTCACCCTGTTGTTGTTATTGTTTATGTTCCCGATTGGTAGAGAAGACGTCCAAATCATGGCTCAAAACCCCTCAGCAGTAAACAACAAAAAGGAAGTGCCCGACAGGCGAACATGCATTCTTGACACCGTCCTCGACGCCATCGGCTCCACCCCCTGCATCCGACTCAATCACGTGCCGAAGAAACACGGCGTGTGCTGCGATGTGGTTGCAAAGTGTGAATTCCTCAACCCCGGTGGCAGCGTCAAGGACCGCATTGCTCGGCAAATGATTCTGGACGCAGAGGCGAGTGGCCGACTGCGCCCCAATCAAACAATTATTGAGGCGACAAGTGGGAACACGGGCATCGGGCTCAGTCTGGTGGCTGCGGTGAAGAAATACCCCATGATCATCACCATGCCCCAAAAGATGTCACATGAGAAGGAGGTGACCCTCCCAGCCCTGGGAGCAGAGGTGATTCGAACGGAGACCGCATTGCCATGGGACCACCCGGATAGTCTCATTGGCATGGCTCGGCGTCTGGAGAAGGAGAAGGGCTACGTGTTGCTGGACCAGTACCGGAACCCAAGCAATCCGAAGGCGCACTACGAAGGCACGGCTCAGGAGATTTACGATCAGTGCGGTGGAAAGGTTGACATGGCGGTGTTCACCACTGGGACGGGCGGCACAATGGCCGGAGTGGCAAAACGATTAAAGGAATTGCTGCCCAACATTGTCATTGTCGGCGTCGATCCGTACGGGAGCATTTTGGCCGATCCCTCGGTACCGCTGGATCCGAAGCCGTACCTCGTTGAGGGCATCGGGTACGATTTTGTGCCAGATGTCTGCGAACGGAAGTACGTTGATCGGTGGGTGAAGTCCGCTGACAAGGAAAGCTTTGCGCTGGCGTCGGAGGTTCACCGCGAAGAGGCGCTCCTCGTCGGAGGGAGCAGTGGTGCCGCCATGTGGGGTGTGCTGCAGGCAGCGAAAGATCTTCGTCCTGACCAGCGGTGCGTTGTGGTATTCCCGGATGGCATCCGCAACTACATGACAAAGTTCCCGGACAAGAATTGGCTGGTGGAGAACGGCCTGGAGGAGGGCGAAGTGACACGCCCAACCTACGGGTCGCTGGAGGCGCAGCTGGAAGAGGCAAAGAAAAAACTGTCGGAGTATGAGGCGAAATGCGGCGGCAGCGTGGAGGAGGGTAAACGTTGCTGTGAAAAAGCAAAGTAATATATGAATACATACATACATATATATAAATAAAACATAAACATACATAACGGGGCAAAACGAGGTAACTTTTGAGTAAATTCTGGGATCAGGGCGAATGCAAGGCAACGGTAATTGCATGGGTACGGCAGCATTGTTAGGGAGGGAAGTGGAGTGTTTGGGGGGCACTGCGGGCGAGCGAAGACAAGAGCAAAAAAAAAAAAAAGGCGTCCGCCATGAGAAATACTGGGGAAATATGTGCAGGGAGATAGCTGGTGGAACGATGTGTGCGGAGGCGAAACGGAAAACCGGCAACGCATAAGAGGAATTGCGGGATGGGTGCTGGGGATGATTGATTACCGAAATTAACCGAATACATTACTAACACAACGCCAGAAATGGAGGGGGACCTCGTGTCTTCTACGGGTCCATGCAATCCGGGTTCCCAGTGGTGAACCGATGATGAATGCCCTGCTTTGGCTCCGAGAAGAAGGGCAAAGCAAAGGGGAGGGCCGCGATGTTTTTTTATTTTGTTTTTGTTTTTGAAATAGGTTTTTTAGGAGCATGTGATGAGAATTGTCTTGGTAGAGCTAGCAATATTAATTAATATTTATGTATCCTGATAAAAAGAATGGACTTTTTTATGATATTTTTCCTACATTATGAATTGTGGGAAGAACGCGACATTAGTGAAGTGAGTTACCGATGGCTGTCAGATAATTTTATTTTCATTTTGCCGTCCAATCCCCCTTTGACTCCAACCCTGCGGCGGGGTCTTGTGGTTGGAGGGACGCAAAGTATACCAATTCGTATGTAATAATGTTTCAGATCCTACCTGAGTTCAAAAGGTCAGTTGAGCGGTGAATATATATATATATAATCAGAAGAAAACATTGAGGGAATTAATTGATTCTGCACGAACCCCTCTTTTTTCCCTCTCTTGTTTGGTTTATATGGATAATTTTAGGATCCGGCCAGCAGCCCAGAAGGTTTTTGTTCCTGAATGTATTTGTTTTTGTTTATTTGTTGTTGTTCTTCTTTAACCTGCGTTTGACGTGATTGCAGGGAAATTTGACTGTGCCAAATGCATTTGTTTTTTCTGTGTTTTTTTTTTTTTTTATATATATTTACACGAATGTCTATAAACATGCATGGGCACCCATTGGTTGTAGGTGTATGAGGGCGTGTCCGTGCGGCTGTTGGGAGTAACATGAACACGGAGGAGCGCATTCGGTACGACCGCCAGGTACGTTTGTGGGGCAAAGCCACGCAGCAGCAGCTTCAGCAAACTGCGGTGCGTATATGCGGGATGACACCTGCCGTTGCGGAGGTGGTCAAAAATTTGGTTTTGGCTGGCGTGTGCTCAGTTACTGTGGAGGATGAGGCCGTATTGGACGACAATGACCTCAAGAACAACTTTCTTATTCAGGGCCACGCTGTCGGTGAAAGGAGGGGCAGGGCGTCTGTGGGGCGGCTTCAGTCGCTGAACCCGTACGTCGCCGTCCACCTGTCCTCGCCAATGGGTGATGAGGGAACCGTGAGAAATGGCGCCTTGTTTATTGTCCTTATTGTCGGGGTTCAAAGCATTGGGGACGCCGTGAGAAGCATTTGTCTACAGCGCAACGCGGGGACGGATTTGGTGGTGCTCGTGTCGAGCCTCGGCCATCTGACGATGAGCATATTTTTGTCAAGAAATCTGGAGATTTCTTACGAAGAGCAAGTGTTGACGCTGCTCACGAAAAACGTTTCTTCCAGACCCGTTAACTTTCAGCGAACGTTGCTGCTTATGAGAATGAGTGACTGTCCTGAGGAACTGCCGTTTTTTGACAGGCTTGCCTTTGCGATGGAGATTGTCGTCCGGTACAATTTATTACAACTCGCGCGAGAAGACGTGGAGTTTGCGGCCAGTTTTTCACCACGACGGCATTTTGGTACCGCGATTGAGGCGACTGTAGCAGGTGGTGCCGTCGCACAACATATTATCCGAGAGATAAGCTGCGTGAAAGAGGGGCCTGGGGATGAAAGCTACACGTGGATCCTCTGTGATAACCGTAACGGTACAGAAATCCAGGTGGGGCACACGTACGGCCTTTAGTCGATCGCCACTTTTTCCTGTTAATGCTTCTGGTTGATATCGGTGTTTTTACTGGATTGGAGTGGTCGCGCGTGTTTTACCACGCGTACACATATATTTAACTTCCAGAACATTTTCTTTTATTTTTGCTTTTTTGGTTGTTGTTGTTGTTTTGTGCTGTTTGCCGTTGTTCACGGTTTGACTAGTCCGTTACAAAGACGTTAAAAGGCAAATGTCAAGGGAATTCTCACTGATTGTTCTTGGGGCCACAGGCTACACGGGCAAACTGGTTTGTGAGTATCTCGCACGTCTGGGTTCGAGCAAAGTGGGACCTTGGGCGATTGCGGGCCGCAATAAGGAGAAACTTGATCAACTGAAGAAGGAAATTGGCGTGAATCTCTCTGTACTTGTTGCAGACATCACCAGTCCCAGTTCTCTGGATAAGCTCTGTGCCAGCACCAGTGTACTCATTTCATGCGCCGGTCCCTTCACATACTTTGGGATGCCCGTTGTGGAGGCTTGCGTCCGCTGCCAGACGCATTACGTGGACTCGACGGGTGAGTATAATTTTGTCCGTCAGGTTATTGAGAAATTTCACGAGGAGGCAAAGAAGCAGCGCGTTGCTCTGGTGTCCTGCTGCGCGTTTGGCAGCGTCCCTGGAGATTTGGGCAACTACTTTGTGCGTCAAGGGCTCGGTTCAGAAGTGGCGGAAGTAAAGGCGTTTTACCAGGTGGCGCGTGACGGGATGTCGGGTGGCACGGCACACTCTGTTATGGCGGTGCATGAGTCTTGTGGTTTGGAGGACAACGATCCTTACAGCCTGCTCCCGAAAGACGCTCCACGGCCCCCTACAGCTCCTGCGCGGAGAGGTGTGTGGTACGACTTCTCGGAGAGGAGGCTGACGGGGCCGTCTTCGATGTCTGACACCAACGAACGCATTGTGCGTCGCACGAACGCTTTGCTTGGCTACGGTGGCACGTACGTGGAGGCGATTGAGGGGACTTTGGGAGCCGTTGTTGGCGCAACCATCACGAAGTACATGATGACAGCTGTCCTTGCCGTTCCTTTTCTCCGTCGCTACGTCGCCGAAAATTGGCTGCCTCCGGCTGGAACCGGTCCCACACAATCGCAGAGAGAGGGGTTGTGCTACAAGTGCAATTTTGTTGCCACCGACAAGTCTGGAAAGGTCCTGCGGAGGGTCTTTCTCTCGGACACAAGAGACGTTACACGGCAAGCGGCATTTACGTC